CGGTGCGGCCCTGGGGCGGCCCTGGTGCGGCCCCGGGGCGGCCCGGGCATCTAAACGATGATCCATGCTTCAACATCCTCCCTACAGCATATTCAACAAGATCCAATCTATCCGACGCTGCTTGCATCCTTATAATCCCGCAATGTACCACCGACAAAACCTCTGAAACATGGTTGGATTCCACCAGAGTTGCAAGCAGCTCCTCCATTTCTTCCACGTTCCCAAGTTCAGTGTACAGAGCCACAAGCTTCTCCGCCATTTGCTCACTAATCTTCCACCCACCTTCGACCGCAAACTTCAGAAACTCCTTTACTCTATTAGTGCTTCTCCTCTTGCAAAGCCCTTCAAGCATGTTCTCCAATATGAGCATGCTAGGCTTGAGTCCTGTTAGTACCATTTCTTCATAGAATCTATCAGTACCCTCAAAATTTCCAGATTTTATGCAGCCCCAAATCAAAGATTCATAGTTCTGAACATGACAACGCAGTCCAGCATCCCTTTTGGCAGAGTGCCAAGCTTGCATAGCGCCTGCATTGCCCAGCTTTGAGAACCCCGATATGAAAGCATCGAAAGTTTTGGAATTGGGTTTGAAGCTATCATCTGTGTTCTTCATTATCTCAAATAAGCTGGAGGCAGTCAGAACATTACCAGAAGAGAAGCAAACATGTATAAGGGAATTGAAAATAGCAGAATTCAGCTTAATTCCATGAGCCTCCAAAGAAGTACAAATACTCATTGCTAGTCCGAGATCTCGAATATTTCCACATAGAGATATGAGTTCAGAGTAAGGATCACAATTTTTCTCATTGTCGTTTAGCAGTTTCTCCAATCTCCATTCCAAAACCTGACCCACCAATAGAACAATGCATTACCATAAATTAAATAAACTTCTCCCAACACATTCCAAACAAAAATTCAAGGATAAGGGGAAAAAAAACACCCTTCATTGTAACTTAGTAAACAGTGGAATTCTAATAGCAATAGAACTTTTAAATACGGATAACACAGTTTTGAACAATCAAATCACATCAAGTTGTGAAATAAAATAATAATTTGCCCGTTTGATTTGCTGATTCGAGTTTTTAATTCGAGTTGAGATATAACTTTATGTGAGAGCTTTTTACTGTAATAAAAATGTTAGATATGACTGTTTTTTAAAACTTTTTACTGTAATAAAACTTAAATCAGTAAAATGAACAGAACCTAAATAAATTCATCAAGCTGACAGTTCAAAAGGACTCTTTAAAGACAGAGAGAGGTCTTTGGGAAAGCTTTTTTTATTTTTCATACCTTTTATTTCTACGAAAAAATTCATAAAATAACCCATTCCAAAAAATCATAAAAATACCATAATCAGAATTTAGTATGATAATTTAATACCATAATCAGAATTTAGTATGATAATTTGATCTTTTTCTGTCACATAACATCTCTTAACAGTTCGTGCACAAAACCAAGTACAACTATTAACGCAATTAAATTGAAACAAATTCACTTTACTCCCAAATTTACAATCAACATTTTAGCTAGCAAGCACAGAAAAAAAAAAAAAAAAAAAAAAAAAAAAAAAAAAAAAAAAAATCTACCCTAACGCTTGCTTGTCATTTCTTTCCTTCTTTTTTCACACATATTAATTCTATCCCTAATAAAAACAAGCGAGAAAAAAAATTAAAAAAAAAAAAGAGCAAGCTGAGTAATAGAGAGTTACCAGGCGAGCTTTATCGGGAGAAGAAGAAGAGGCGAGAGGGGAAAGTAGGGATTGCCATGAAAAGGTAGAGAAATGGTGGGAATCAAGGGTGGTTTTGACGCGGGATTTGGGTTCCTGAAGCAACTTTTGTATGATCAGCGAAGAATCTGAATCGCGTACTTGGCTGTTACACTTGCAAAACAAACGCTTTGAAGAAGAACTCCATAGAATCAGCGCAGAATGAGTTCGAGACCTTAAAGCTTTTGGTGCGAAGGTAAAAGCTGGCCCCATAGCTTTGTATTGCCCGAGGTTGCAGAGTTAACAAGTACTACTACTCCGGGGGCATGACCGATTGCCGAATGGGTTTTTTAAGCGAATTACCGTCAAAAGGGACACCTTGAAGACCTTCTCATAAAAAAATTGATTTCTGTAGGATTTTAACCGGCTGAGAATTCGGGCGTTGTCCCGGGAAATATTATTGTATTATACAAAATGTTCAGAATTTTTACAACACAGAATTAGTTTATATATATATATATATATTCACAAATATATATTGTACTCTGGTTCAAAATACATTTATATATATATATATATGTATAGTACCCCTTATAATTTTTTTTAATTTTTTTTTTATTTTTGTAGGATTTTAATATGATTTTTGATCAATTAATTAATTTCGGTAAATCACTTGTTAATTTAATTTTTATTATTGGCAGGGGAATTTTAGTATTTTAAAAATTTTAATAATTGTAAAAATATTTTGAGTTTATTTTTATAAGTAAAAGTGGTGTTTTGGGTATTCACCTCCTAACCCAAATTTAAGAGAGCATTTATGAGATTAATTTTATTTTTGTTAAGTTTAATTCCTTTTGTTTAGTTTTTTGTTTTATTTTTGTAAGGGAATTTCTCGTGTCTCACGGTATGACCTTCTAGTAGGTTATGTAAACGATTTTTACGATTTTATTGACTGAGAAATCGGTGGTGCACAGTCGAATTGTCTACATACACGTATCCTAGATGAACTATAAGTGGAATTTTTTGAGAAATACTTTAAAAATTGGCTACTCCAGGTTGGCTTGATTACCTTGCTTTGTTTTTTTTTTTTTTTTTTTTTTTTTAGAATTGAAATATGTAAAATTAAGGGAATAACTCGAAAGGACACGGTTTTAGGAGGGTTCTTTGCAAATTTGGGATTAAAATGACCATTATGTTGCATCCTCCCTCCACTAGAATTGCCCACCACCACCAAAACCATTATCCATCCTGAACGTCCTCCACCACGTTCACACTTAAGGCGTTGTTTCCTGCCAAAAAAGAAAGAGAGGAATCCAAAGGTTGTGAAATCTCTAGCATTTTGAAAAATTAATCTCAAACCCTCCTATTTTTGCTTTAAATTGTTGTTCAAAAGATTGGGTATTCATATTTGGAAGTTTAATTTAGAAAAACAATAATGATTCATTCTATTTTGCGCTATTTTTCAACCTATAAAATTTGTAAATTCAAAAGAGATCGTCGTGAAGCTAGAGATGACCAATAAGATTGTTCAGACGAGAACTCGAAGATTTTATTGGTCTTACCAGTCCTTCTCTTTTATTATTTATTTTAATACTCTTTAATAACAAAATTTATTTTCTAATTCATCAATTATTAACATGAGATATAAAGTTTAGCTGTGAAGACCAATGCTAAAAAATTTATTTATGTTTTTTTTTAAATATACTGATCGGCTACTGCCGATCTTACTTATTAAAAAAATAAATGTGTTGTGATTGTTTCACTAGATATTACGATTGGTAAGATCAAACAGACGACAATTAATCTTGCTGAACTTACCGGACTTGAAGGGTAAATCTTACCGATTTCCTCTCAAAACTAAACTTATTGGTCACAACTTGACATACAAAGTTTGTTCAATATTATCACACTAAGACAATTATAACTTTATTTTAAAAAAAAAATTACGAGGACATATCCAATTTAGTTTAATTATGGGGCGAGTAGGGTTTTCGATCACTTTAGAGGACTTATATTAGTTAATGAGATTCCACTAACTTAGTCATAATAATCATAACGTGACGCATAAAGTGTTTTATTATTATTATTATTATTGTTAACCAATACCTTTTCAACAATATTTAAATTACAAACTCTCAAAGTCTGGTCATATATATACGCCAAGAATCATAAAGTAGGAGAGGCCAAAAGCCTCTAGTACTTACAACAATAAAGTACTAGTAATAGAGTGTTAATAGTTGGAACTTGAGAGGTTATGAAATACCAAATATTAATGGTAATAAGAGTGGGGATCATGCAATTCACGAGGGTGTTAGGAATGTGAACATGTTTGGAATATTTTTACGTGGACTTCCATAATTATAATAATTCATTCTGTAATTAATTAAAGTATCTTATGGACAATTGTGTTACTATAAATTAACACATGCACGTATATTAAATGTCAATCCATTATGAAATAGACACTTATTTTATTAACTCACTTAAGGCATATAAACTTTCTCGATCTCATAATATTTAGTCAATTTATTGGGCCAAATACCCTCTCTCAATGAATATTGGAATAGGCCCTTAGGCCTATTGGTTTATATGGGCAGCCACCCTTTATTTGACAAATGCATGGGCACTCGTGGGTGTGGTGCCTGAACGTGGGAGAGATAGAGAGGAGCTCAAGAGCACCTCTTGCCATTCTTCTGTTTGCAGCTCCTCCACCCACTCCGGCCGGCCCATTGGCAGATTCCGGCGACCATAAACGACGTGTTTCCGCTGCCCATCGAAATGAAGGTATGCTAAATCCCAAATAAGAGTTTTTTTGTGGCATTTTTAGATTTTAAACTAGATTAGTGTTTTTGATATTGTTTAGATTATGGTTAGATCATTTTAAATCTAGCAGAACATCCACAATTAATAAATCAATTTATTTGTAACATTTATATATAAAATTTCAAAAACTATCATGTATATAATAAATGTTATATAAATATACATAGAAGCCCAAAAATTACATTTAATGTAAACCATATCAATATCACATTTAATGTAATGACAGCGAAAAAAGAAAATTATCAAACAAGGAAAGACAAACACATAATATATATTAGAAAAAAAAAAGATTGAGAAAAAAGATTGATTTGGTTGTTAATCTCCAAAGTTAAAAAACAAAGAAAAGTTAAAAAAGTTAATTAAAAAACACATTCCAAAGTTAATTAAAAACTAAAATAATGAAAAAACAAAAGTTAATCTCCATATATAGTTCCTAAATTTTAATTGTTTCTAATTTTGATCTTAATTTACACATATTTCTTCAAATATTTAACACCTAAGTAAAAGGAAAATTAAAATTGAAACAAAGTAAAATTTTAAAAACTATGTGAGGTTTTAAAAATTAAAGACGAAAATGAAATTAAGGATAAATCTTAACATCTATACGTGGGATTAACCTTAAAAAAAAAAAAAAACAAAAAAGTTGCTATTGTCAAAATTAAAAAGTAAAGGGCCAAATTAGCACTCCTTGAAAAAATTCGGGACCATTTGTGTTAATCATCCTACCTTGCCGCCGCCATTGTGGTCTGTCTCACACAACACCACCGCCCTTTGAATTTGGAAACCCTAGCTCTCTGTAACTCTCAAGCCCCTCGCTTTCTCTCCCCGACTCCGTTTCTCTCCTCCCTTGCTTCCTTGTTTTCCGAAAACCGTAGCAAAACCCCCCAATGGAGGTCGTTGTGGCCTCTTCGTCCGTCGACGCCGGCATCGGTTGCTGGGACCTACAAAGCGGCGCCGAGCAGCTCCGCTACAAGTCTTGCGCGTCCCCCCGCCACGGTCTTGTCTGCGTCGGCCGACGCTTCCTCGCCTCTTCTCAGCTCCGCAACTCCTCCGCCTCCTCCGGCTCCGTCCTCTACTGGACTTGGTCCAAGGTCCTCTCTCTCTCTCTCTCTCTCTCTATACATACATATATATATATATATATTGCTCTCCAACTGTTCGACCAATTGCCTCTTAATTTCCGCTAAGCATTTGTTGTTTCTCTTTGCAATGCAGCCACAAGTAGAAGTCAAGAGCTTCCCTGCAGAACAGATAAAGCCGCTCGCGGCTAATCGAGAAGGCACCTACATTGTTGGTGGAGGCTTGTCTGGGGATATCTACTTGTGGGAGGTGAAATTTTAATCTTTTGTTTGTTATAAATTTTGTACATTGAGATAAAAGATTGTTAATTTTACAATTTTACGAGTCGTTTGATTTTCAGGTTGCTAGTGGTAGTCTGCTTAAGAACTGGCATGCTCATTATAGAGCCGTTACATGCTTGGTATTTTCTGACGATGACTCGCTGTTAATATCTGGGTCCGAGGATGGATCGGTCAAAGTTTGGTCGCTTTTAATGTATGTTGTGTTTCGTTTCGTATTCCGACTATGAATGGCAATTGCTTTGCTGTTATCATTGCTAAGATTGTTAGATGAGACCAAAAGCTTTTCGCTTGATGATTAATTCAGGATATTCGATGATTACTTAAGAGAACAAGCGAGTCATCCGTACGTACATAGCTTTTCAGAGCACACTCTTTGTATAACTGATATTATAGCTGGATATGGAGGCTGCAATGCGATTATAGTTTCGGCTTCAGAGGATCGGACGTGTAAGGTATGGCATGACCTTTAGTGAATTATAAACTTGTTATAGTTTTGTTTGGGTCTAAAGTTATGTTCCACAACTGAATCAATTTGAAGTTTCAAAGGGTATCGTTAATTTCTAATTTACAAGTCATTGCAATTCTTAGAAACAGTTGAATATTGTTCTAGTGTTATATGTTTCAAGTTATATTGCAACTGCTATTATGTTTCTCTCTTTTTTGTCTCTCCCTCTTTGGTCTGTGCTGCTGTGGTGATCTCTGTGTTTTTTTAATTGTTCCATGCGATTTGCTGAACATTTGTTTTTTCGTTTGGCCGTTAATTTGCTCAGGTCTGGAGCTTATCAAAAGGAAAATTATTAAGAAATATTGTGTTTCCATCAATAATTGATGCAATTGCTTTGGATCCCAGTGAACGTGTCTTTTATGCTGGCGGTAGAGATGGAAAGATATATGTTGCCGCACTCAATGCTGAAATTCCGTCTAGCAAAAAATATGGGCTGCATATCATAAGTGCATTTTCAAATCACAGGTTTGGGTCTAGAAAGCTGGAAAAAACACTGAATTTTCATTTGACTGACTGTTAAGATTATCCACCTGTATGATTAGCCTATTATTTCGTTTAGCTTACAACTTTGTGCACTGATTTTTGAACAGCAAGGCTGTTACTTGCTTACAATACGGTACAACTGGAAATGTTTTGATCTCTGGATCAGAAGATGGTATGATTCGTGTTTGGGATGCTCGAACTTATAACATTATTCGGGTGTTAAGACACGCAAAAGGTATTCTTCATGCTACCTGAAACACACGCACACATATATTGTGCTGGCATAGGCTTTCGTTAGATTGCGTTTATTGTTAGGTATGATTCGTATGAAGAAACATACTGTTGCCTTTTATTTCTCTGGTAGATGCTGAGTGATAACCTAATGATTATGGCTGTCTGATTTTTCTTGTGATTTTTGCCTTTTATATAGTTTGAACTATTTTGTGCAGGTCCGGTGAATAATATTATTCTTGTTAGAGAACAACTTAAAAATTTTCAGAGGATTTCAAATTCACAAGCTTTCCTCAGGAAGCACGCATCACTATTACCACCTCTGGAAAAATATGCAAATTCAACAGATGATGTTACAGAAACTAAGACTGTTATTGGTTTCCAAGAGACTTGCAACAAATCCATCGATGCCATGTACCTTAGTTCTGTTGTGGCTCATAATCAAATCAAAGAACTACAGGTTTTCATCTCATCACTCAATTTTCTTTCTTCATTGTTAGTGTTAATATGCATGCTTCTGGCTGGTATTTTATGTGCATGTTTGTTTATTTTCTTACATTTCATAGTGTAATATTTACTGCAAAAGGAGCAATAGTGTAATCAGCCTACATGCCTGAAATTATTTCTTTTAACTTTTGCGGTGGCCTCTTCTACAGCAAAGAGGTTCTGCCGCCGTTGATATGGAACTGGACAGAGTAAAGCTTGATTGCAAGAAATCCATGCAAATGGTTGAGCAATGGAAGAAAATGTATGAAAACTTGCATCAATTCTGTGTAGATGAACTCTTAGAGGATGGCAAATAGAAAAACTGTGAGAGTTGCAACTCTTATTTTTGCTTATAGTATTATAAGATGGATGATTCTTCTTGGTTCTTCACATTCGTTATCTGAATATAGTAGTCTTTTGTTGCCCCAGAGCTGTCCCGGGGCTGTACCGGGGTTGTCCCGGAGCTGTCCCGGGGTTGTACCCAGGCTGTTCCGGGGCTGTACCGGGGCTGTCCCGGGGTTGCCCCGGAGCTGTCCCGGGGCTGTCCCGGGGCCGCCCCAAGGCTGTCCCGGCGCTGTATCGGGGCTGACCCGGGGTTGCCCCAGGGCTGTCCCGGGGCTGTCCTGAGACTGTCTCGGGGCTGACCCGGGGCTTTCCCGGGGCTGCCTCGGGGCTGTCTCGGGGGTGTTCCCGGGCGCCGCCCCAAGGCTGTCCCGGCGCTGTATCGGGGCTGACCCGGGGTTGCCCCAGGGCTGTCCCGGGGCTGTCCTGAGACTGTCTCGGGGCTGACCCGGGGCTTTCCCGGGGCTGCCTCGGGGCTGTCTCGGGGGTGTTCCCGGGCCG